GCAAGGGCCGGTCCCTGCAAGGGGCCCGGGTCCCTGCAAGGGCCGGTCCCTGCAAGGGCCGGGGGGGGGGGGGGGGGGGGGGGGGGGGGGGGGGGGGGGGGGGGGGGGGGGTCCCCGGGGGGGGGGGGGGGGGGGGGGGTCCCTGCAAGGGCCGGTCCCTGCAAGGGCCGGTCCCTGCAAGGGCCGGTCCCTGCAAGGGCCGGTCCCTGCAAGGGCCTGGAACTTAATGCAGCACCTCTAATATTTAGCACGCACGGTATTTTTTTTCTGTTAATAATAATAATAATCCTTGCATTTGATATAGCGCTTTTCACGTCGGGAGGACATCCCAAAGTGCTTCACAGAACACACTGTAAAGTGAATTGACTGTATATTTGTGGGCGAACGCGGCAGCCAAGTGCGGGCACAGCAATGTCCCACAGACAATCGTAGGTTGAAAATGACCGATTTATTATTGTTTGGGGTTTTGGAGGGATTATTGTGGCAGTTTGTGCCACAGAGTGTATTGCAGTACATCAAATCGAGAGTTGTGATCCTTGCATCCAGGTATCTCGGTTCAGCTGCTGATCATCAAACTGCAGCAGTTTATCACCTCCTGCAGACAGCTTCCCTTGAAGCGCCAGACGCTTCTTTCAAAGGGTCTTTCCTGGCAATGAATAAGTACAACGCCAAAGCCATCGTCTCGATTTTTGCATTTGAATTGACCAGCAATTCGTGAACGAAAACAGGCGGTGCAGACTGGGTGTGATCGCAATAACGTCTAATTCAGGCGATTCAGTCAAAACACCCATGTGCTTCAAGATAGATGTATTGCTATGTAAACTCGATGTAACCAAATCTCATTGATGGAAAATGTGTGTGTGGGGGGTGGGTGTGGGGGAGAAGGGGGGGGGGGGGTATTTTGTTTCTTTGCTGCCTAATTGGGATTTGCTGGTGAAATCTTCTAGCAACTGGAAACCTCCCTGTCGGTAACTTTGCTGGTTCTTTTCATCCCCCCACCCCACCCCATCCCACCCCACCCCCCAACCACAAAAAAAATGCTCTCCATGTATGCAAAGTCTTCTTCCAGTGATAAAAGTATTATTACGCCGAGGTTCCTGACTGGCTTTGAGAGGTGGAGAGTGTAGCCTTGGAAGCTGATGGTGTCAGCGCCTGAGGTGCGGAGGCGCTGACGTGAGCCAATCAGGAGGGCCTCGGTTTTTCGCACGTTGAGCTGAAGAAAGTTGTCTCTCGTCCAGGACTCGATGTCGGACAGGCAGGCTGTCAGGACATCAGTGGTCGTGGAGTTGAGAGGAGAGGAGGAAAGGTAGAGTTGGGTGTCATCCGCATACATGTGGAAGTTAACTCCATGTCTGCGGATGATGTCACCGAGGGGGAGCATATAGAGGGTGAAGAGGAGGGGACCCAGGACAGAGCCCTGAGGGACACCACATGAGACAGTGCGGGGGGTGGAGGAGCAAGGGCCGGTCCCTGCAAGGGCCGGTCCCTGCAAGGGCCTGGCACTTAATGCAGCACCTCTAATATTTAGCACGCACGGTATTTTTTTTCTGTTAATAATAATAATAATCCTTGCATTTGATATAGCGCTTTTCACGTCGGAAGGACGTCCCAAAGCGCTTCACAGTACACACTGTAAAGTGAATTGACTGTATATTTGTGGGCGAACGCGGCAGCCAAGTGCGGGCACAGCAATGTCCCACAGACAATCGTAGGTTGAAAATGACCGATTTATTATTGTTTGGGGTTTTGGAGGGATTATTGTGGCAGTTTGTGCCACAGAGTGTATTGCAGTACATCAAATCGAGAGTTGTGATCCTTGCATCCAGGTATCTCGGTTCAGCTGCTGATCATCAAACTGCAGCAGTTTATCACCTCCTGCAGACAGCTTCCCTTGAAGCGCCAGACGCTTCTTTCAAAGGGTCTTTCCTGGCAATGAATAAGTACAACGCCAAAGCCATCGTCTCGATTTTTGCATTTGAATTGACCAGCAATTCGTGAACGAAAACAGGCGGTGCAGACTGGGTGTGATCGCAATAACGTCTAATTCAGGCGATTCAGTCAAAACACCCATGTGCTTCAAGATAGATGTATTGCTATGTAAACTCGATGTAACCAAATCTCATTGATGGAACATGTGTGTGTGGGGGGTGGGTGTGGGGGAGAAGGGGGGGGGGGGGTATTTTTTTTCTTTGCTGCCTAATTGGGATTTGCTGGTGAAATCTTCCAGCAACTGGAAACCTCCCTGTCGGTAACTTTGCTGGTTCTTTTCATCCCCCCACCCCACCCCATCCCACCCCCCACAAAAAAAATGCTCTCCATATATGCAAAGTCTTCTTCCAGTGATAAAAGTGTTATCGCTTTGGGTGTACACGCGGCAGAAAGCTATTGGTGAGGGGGCTGATGAGAGCAGAAACTTTTAGCTGATCTGGGGTACCAAAAACAAGGGGGTGGCGGCGGGGGGGGGGGGGGGGACACTCATTGAGGAGTGCAGTTTGCAGCGATCCACACCCACTCCCACCCCACCCCCACCCCCACCATCCCACCCCATCCCTCAGCAGTGAATCTTTGCCGCTGCTTCGACGATGCACAGACCAGCAGCCGCTTTGCAGACGTGCATCGACCACCAGTGGGCGGCTCTGAAGACCCTGCGGCAGAGGCTGGAGAGCGAGCGATGCATTGGTCCGGACCAGCCCTGCCCGGACCAGCCCAGCCCGGCCACCCGCCACCCGCCGGGTCCTCCGCACAGCCGGCGGACCATTGCCCACATGGCCAGAGAGAGCAAACTGAGCCGCTTCGTGGACCTGACTTCCGAACTGACCGCCGTGGAGCAGCGCGGACTGTGCCCTTTGCCGGAGCCACACTTCTTCCCTGTGGAATTAAAGGTGAGAGGGGCATCTTGTGGGTAAGGGGAGGGAGAGAGGGGGAGAGGGGGTGGGGGGTGACACACAGGTCCTGAAAACTTCTACTTCCCATCGACGTGTACACCCACTTTATTGTCGCGCTCATCCTTAAAGCAGATGCGCGAAGAAATAATGGCAACTCTTTGCTGTTTAAAACGAGGGAGTGCAAACCTCTTCGCTCACCTGTGTCACCGTTTGAGTGTACAGCTTTGGTAAATATCTCACTGCCAATATTAATAATCAAGAAAAACCTAACCGCCAATGTCAGATCGAGACACATAAATCAGCTCGCGCTGTGCATTTGATTTTTTTCAATGTGTGTGTGGTGAATTGGCAAAAATTGGCAAATCCAATATTTGCATTTTGCTAATATATCTTCTTGTTTATTTGTTTATTGTTTATTACAAGGCCATTCACGGCCTTGCTCCCTCCTATCTCTCCGACCTACTATCCCCCTACCTACCTGCCCGTACCCTCCGTTCCTCTGGCTCCGGTCTGCTCCACATCCCCCGCCCCAACCGCCCTACCATCGGTGGTCGGGCCTTCAGCCTCTCAGCCCCCAGGCTCTGGAACTCCATCCCCCAGTGCCTTCGCCTTGCTTCCTCCCTTTCCTCCTTCAAGGCCGGTCTCAAAACCTTTCTCTTTGACCGAGCCTTCAGCTCCCCTCTCGACTCTCTTCCCCCTCCTCGCTCCCTCCCTTCCCTCCCCTCTCCCTGACCATTTCCCCCCTCCTCGCTCCCTCCCTTCCCTCCCCTCACCCTGACCGTTTCCCCCCTCCTCGCTCCCTCCCTTCCCTCCCCTCACCCTGACCATTTCCCCCCTGCTCGGGTCATGACCCAACTGTGCAGCGCCTTGGGACGTCCTCCTGACGTGAAAGGCGCTTTATAAATGGAATCTTGTTGTTGTTGTTGTTGTTGTTGATTTGTAGCTCAGCGTGGAGTTAAGAAACATCTGCGTTCGCTTGGCGACCAGGAAGGACGGCTTCCAGCTTGATGGCGATCTGAAAGAGATCGAAGATTGTTTGATGAACATTGTCAACCAGCTGTTACTTTCGTTGTCTTTGTACAATTCGGAATCGCACCTGCAGGCTACTGAAATGCTGAAAGGCTTCCTTAAAAAGTTCCCAGATAGGAGAAATCATTTGGAATCGTGGTTTTATTGCTCTTAGTGTAAGATAATGTGTTATTTGCCCCCAAATCTTTGGAACTCTCTCTCCCCAATCCCCCCACCTACCCCCTCCTTCCCCTTTCTTTAGATCGCTTCCTCTTCGACTGTGCTTACGGTCACCTCCTCTCTCCCCCCAGTTTGGGTTCCGCCACTTTTAGATGCTCCGAGTTACTGCCCTGAGTGATGGATGCTGTATAAATGCAAGTTGCTGTTAGTTGGAAAGTCTGAGAGATCCTGAGGTTCAAACAATCTGAACAAGGAGGCCATCAATGTAAGGACATCATCACATGTACCTTTGGTGACATGCTGGAGCTGTTCCCAATGGATTATGCATCACTTTCAAATTCTTAAGAAATGCTTATCACCTTAGTGTTACTTATACTGTACTTCTTACAAGTCATTGCACTGTTTATGCATCTTTTGCCAATTCACCACACACACATTGA